CAAGATATATTACGTAGCAACATATTAGGCTGCTAAATATCTATATTCAAGAAATTGAGAATGGAGAGAGATAAAATATACTAACATGTGTTTTATTTATGTCGCTCGGCGTGATGACAAGCTACCCTGCTGTAAACTATCTCTAATGATGCATCAAAAGGGAATAAGTGTACTTAGCTAATAGGGCACTGTGTAAGTTGAAGCTTGCCGAAGCTCGCGTCCTAGGCTCTAACGTCGCATTGGCGAACACGTGGCGTTTAGCCTGGCCTAGATGTCGACGCGCTTCTCTGGCCGGTCACGATGGATTACACGGAACAAATTGACAAGTTCCGGGCTGAATGTCAAGTTAATTCTCGTTGACGATTCACCACGATGTATCCTATGACACTGACACCAAACAAGTTGCTCAATTCCGCAACTAGTCTTCACACCTCACTTTGGTGACTTTCCTCTCTCGTCAACGCCTCCACACGCTCTCTCGGCAACATGGCGTCTCCCTTCCCCCCTCCGCGTCCCCGCATTCGCCACACAAATTATTTTCTACGAATAATATTATTTCTCGCAGTTGCGGCTAAAATGCTGGGATAATGACGGGTTTATAATTCTAGGGAGCTAAATATTATTATTTGCTCGTTTTACGATGTCAAACGAGCAATGGAGAATGATATTAATTCTCTCCGCGGCATTCACTCGTGACTTTAAATTTATTACCAGATAACAGTTGTATCTAGAAATGCTTGATTTGGCATTATTTGGGAGTCAGGTTATCGGTAAGTAATTATCACACAGAACACTGTTGTTTTTAGAGAATCAAACTCAATTCTCTGACACACTGGATATAATGTGTTTATTTTGGTAGAATCTGACGCAATACTGGTGTTTGGTTACGTAAGAATTCTAGCGTTATTGTACAGATACAATTATTAGTTCATGTGAACTCTACTTTTGGTTAATTTTAGTTACTACAGCAATTAGTAGATTTTAGTAATAATTAATAATAATACAACTGTGTTGTATTATGTTGGAAATTTCCAACAATAGTTGTGCTGAGGGTGGGTGATAGTTGAGCTGAGGGTGGTGATAGTTGAGCTGAGGGGGGTGATAGTTGAGCTGAGGGTGGTGATAGTTGAGCTGAGGGGGGTGATAGTTGAGCTGAGGGTGGTGATAGTTGAGCTGAGGGGGGTGATAGTTGAGCTGAGGGGGATGATAGTTGAGCTGAGAGGGGTGATAGTTTAGCTGAGGGGGGTGATAGTTGAGCTGAGGGTGGTGATAGTTGGGCTGAGGGGGGTGATAGTTGGGCTGAGGGTGGTGATAGTTGGGCTGAGGGTGGTGATAGTTGAGCTGAGGGTGGTGATAGTGTAGCTGAGGGGGTGATAGTATAGCTGAGGGTGGTGATAGTGTAGCTGAGGGTGGTGATAGTGTAGCTGAGGGGGGTGATAGTTGAGCTGAGGGGGGTGATAGTTGGGCTGAGGGGGGTGATAGTTGGGCTGAGGGGGGTGATAGTTGGGCTGAGGGGGGTGACAGTGTAGCTGAGGGTGGTGATAGTTGGGCTGAGGGGGATGACAGTGTAGCTGAGGGGGAGATAGTGTAGCTGAGGGTGGTGATAGTGTAGCTGAGGGTGGTGATAGTGTAGCTGAGGGGGGTGATAGTGTAGCTGAGGGTGGTGATAGTGTAGCTGAGGGTGGTGATAGTGTAGCTGAGGGTGGTGATAGTTGAGCTGAGGGGGGTGATAGTTGAGCTGAGGGTGGTGATAGTTGAGCTGAGGGTGGTGATAGTTGAGCTGAGGGGGGTGATAGTTGTGCTGAGGGGGGTGATAGCTGGGCTGAGGGAGGTGACAGTGTAGCTGAGGATGGTGATAGTTGGGCTGAGGGGGGTAACAGTGTAGCTGAGGGGGTGATAGTGAAGCTGAGGGTGGTGATAGTGTAGCTGAGGGGGGTGATAGTTGAGCTGAGGGGGTGATAGTTGAGCTGAGGGGGTGATAGTTGAGCTGAGGGTGGTGATAGTGTAGCTGAGGGGGGTGACAGTGTAGCTGAGGGGGGTGATAGTTGAGCTGAGGGTGGTGATAGTTGAGCTGAGGGGGTGATAGTGTAGCTGAGGGTGGTGATAGTGTAGCTGAGGGTGGTGATAGTGTAGCTGAGGGGGGTGACAGTGTAGCTGAGGGGGGTGATAGTTGAGCTGAGGGGGGTGATAGTTGAGCTGAGGGGGTGATAGTGTAGCTGAGGGTGGTGATAGTGTAGCTGAGGGGGGTGATAGTTGAGCTGAGGGGGGTGATAGTTGAGCTGAGGGGGGTGATAGTTGAGCTGAGGATGGTGATAGTTGAGCTGAGGATGGTGATAGTTGAGATGAGGGGGGTGATAGTTGAGCGGAGGATGGTGATAGTTGGGCTGAGGATGGTGATAGTTGAGCTGAGGGTGGTGATAGTTGAGCTGAGGATGGTGATAGTTGAGATGAGGATGGTGATAGTTGAGCTGAGGGGGGTGATAGTTGAGCTGAGGATGGTGATAGTTGGGCTGAGGATGGTGACAGTTGAGCTGAGGGTGGTGATAGTTGGGCTGAGGATGGTGATAGTTGAGCTGAGGATGGTGATAGTTGAGATGAGGGGGGTGATAGTTGAGCTGAGGATGGTGATAGTTGAGCTGAGGATGGTGATAGTTGAGATGAGGGGGTGATAGTGTAGCTGAGGGGGGTGATAGTTGAGCTGAGGGGGGTGATAGTTGAGCTGAGGGGGGTGATAGTTCAGCTGAGGGGGGTGATAGTTCAGCTGAGGGGGGTGATAGTGTAGCTGAGGGGGGTGATAGTTCAGCTGAGGGGGGTGATAGCCGCACATTATATTGTCATATATGCAAATGGATTTTTCTTACCAAAAAATGGTATTAACATAGTGCGTAAATTAAAATAAAAAATGCATTTTAATCTGCTTATTTATTTCAAATTAATTTCTTTAGTGTGATGTAAACATTTTGTCTGTCAGTCTGGCGTGACTGTTGTCTGTCAGTCTGGCGTGACTGTTGTCTGTCAGTCTGACGTGACTGATGTCTGTCAGTCTGGCGTGACTGGTGTCTGTCAGTCTGACGTGACTGGTGTCTGTCAGTCTGACGTAACTGGTGTCTGTCAGTCTGACGTGACTGGTGTCTGTCAGTCTGGCGTGACTGTTGTCTGTCAGTCTGGCGTGACTGGTGTCTGTCAGTCTGACGTGACTGGTGTCTATCAGTCTGGCGTGACTGGTGTCTGTCAGTCTGGCGTGACTGGTGTCTGTCAGTCTGACGTGACTTTTGTCTGTCAGTCTGGCGTGACTGGTGTCTGTCAGTCTCTGACAGCCTCCGTGGGGTTCGGGTGTACTCACCTAGCTTGTGGGGTTGAGCTTTGGCTCCCTGGTCCCGCCTCTGTACTGTCAATCCACTGGTGAAACTGATGTCTTAATTCTCCTGGCGATATTCTTATGATTAATGGTACTGACTTTGCGTTCATCACTGAACTGTGTTAACAGTGAACATTAACTCGTTATTGTGTTTATATGCCCCTGCTGTCAATGATAATGACTGCTGAGGTGTGGACAGTGTCCAGAGGAGCATTTGTCCAACTGCTGAGGTGTGGACAGTGTCCAGAGGAGCATTTGTCCAACTGCTGAGGTGTAGACAGTGTCCAGAGGAGCATTTGTCCAACTGGTGAGGTGTGAAGAGTGTCCAGAAAAGCATTTGTCCAACTGCTGAGGTGTGGAGAGTGTCCAGAGGAGCATTTGTCCAACTGCTGAGGTGTGAAGAGTGTCCAGAGGAGCATTTGCCCAACTGCTGAGGTGTGAAGAGTGTCCAGAGGAGCATTTGTCCAACTGCTGAGGTGTGGAGAGTGTCCAGAGGAGCATTTGTCCAACTGCTGAGGTGTGGACAGTGTCCAGAGGAACATTTGTCCAACTGCTGAGGTGTGGACAGTGTCCAGAGGAGCATTTGTCCAACTGCTGAGGTGTGGACAGTGTCCAGAGAAGCATTTGTCCAACTGCTGAGGTGTGGACAGTGTCCAGAGGAGCATTTGTCCAACTGATGAGGTGTGAAGAGTTTCCAGAGGAGCATTTGCCCAACTGCTGAGGTGTGGACAGTGTCCAGAGGAACATTTGTCCAACTGCTGAGGTGTGGAGAGTGTCCAGAGGAGCATTTGCCCAACTGCTGAGGTGTGAAGAGTGTCCAGAGGAGCATTTGCCCAACTGCTGAGGTGTGGAGAGTGTCCAGAGGAGCATTTGTCCAACTGCTGAGGTGTGGACAGTGTCCAGAGGAACATTTGTCAAACTGTTGAGGTGTAGACAGTACCAACAGGTGAAGTGAGGACATTTGTCCTGTGGCTTTGCTAAAAGTCCATTTGGTCCAGAAACAGTTTCTAGGTCTTATACATAACTACTGTACTAATTTTCATATGCAACTAAGTGGACATTAAGACTTGTATCGGATTTAAAAAAAAACAGATAAAAGAGACAAACTATTATATTTATTAAATATCTCATCCATTTTCAGTATTTGAAAAATTTGTAAAGCCTTTTGAAAACGAAAAACTGATATTTGCTTATTTAGAAATAGAACAAATGGATAGGCTGTGGTTTATGAAAAGCAAAATTGGAAAGAATCATTGCAAAAACTGGAAGTGATGCTTGCAACAAGCCTGGCCTCTGGGGGCATGTTGCAAGAGTGACGTGGTGGCAACTGATGAAACTCTGCGGAAGTTATTGGGCAAGAACAGAAGGAAATTGAGAGGTAAATATTATCTGGAGTGTTTTGGAGAGTCAGTTCTAGGTGCAGAGGGCAGGGTGGTGGTGGAGGAGGGCAGGGTGGTGGTGGAGGAGGGCAGGGTGGTGGTGGAGGAGGGCAGGGTGGTGGTGGAGAGCGGCAGGGTGGTGGTGGAGGAGGGCAGGGTGGTGGTGGAGGAGGGCAGGGTGGTGGTGGAGAGCAGGGTGGTGGTGGAGGAAGGCAGGGTGATGGTGGAGGAAGGCAGGGTGATGGTGGAGGGCAGGGTGGTGGTGGAGGGCAGGGTGGTGGTGGAGGAGGGCAGGGTGGTGGTGGAGGAGGGCAGGGTGGTGGTGGAGGAGGGCAGGGTGGTGGTGGAGGAGGGCAGGGTGGTGGAGGTGGGCAGGGTGGTGGAGGAAGGCAGTGTGGTAGAGGAGGGCAGGGTGGTGGAGGAGGGCAGGGTGGTGGAGGAGGGCAGGGTGGTGGAGGAGGAGGGCAGGGTGGTGGAGGAGGGCAGGGTGGTGGAGGAGGAGGGCAGGGTGGTGGTGGAGGGCAGGGTGGTGGTGGAGGAGGGCAGGGTGGTGGTGGAGGAGGGCAGGGTGGTGGAGGAGGGCAGGGTGGTGGTTGAGGGCAGGGTAATGGTGGAGGAAGGCAGGGTGATGGTGGAGGAAGGCAGGGTGATGGTGGAGGGCAGGGTGGTGGTGGAGGGCAGGGTGGTGGTAGAGGAGGGCAGGGTGGTGGTGGAGGAGGGCAGGGTGGTGGAGGAGGGCAGGGTGGTGGTGGAGGGCAGGGTGGTGGTGGAAAGCAGGGTGGGGGTGGAGGGCAGGTTGGTGGAGGAGGGCAGGGTGGTGGTAGAGGGCAGGGTGGTGGTTTAGGGCAGGGTGGTGGTGGAAAGCAGGGTGGTGGTGGAGGGCAGGGTGGTGGTGGAGGGCAGGGTGGTGGTGGAGGAAGGCAGGGTGATGGTGGAGGGCAGGGTGGTGGTGGAGGGCAGGGTGGTGGTGGAAAGCAGGGTGGGGGTGGAGGGCAGGTTGGTGGAGGAGGGCAGGGTGGTGGTAGAGGGCAGGGTGGTGGTTTAGGGCAGGGTGGTGGTGGAAAGCAGGGTGGTGGTGGAGGGCAGGGTGGTGGTGGAGGGCAGGGTGGTGGTGGAGGAAGGCAGGGTGATGGTGGAGGGCAGGGTGGTGGTGGAGGGCAGGGTGGTGGTGGAGGGCAGGGTGGTGGTGGAGGGCAGGGTGGTGGTGGAGGGCAGGGTGGTGGTGGAGGGCAGGGTGGTGGTGGAGGGCAGGGTGGTGGTGGAGGGCAGGGAGGTGGTGGAGGGCAGGGTGGTGGTGGAGGAAGGCAGGGTGATGGTGGAGGGCAGGGTGGTGGTGGAGGAAGGCAGGGTGGTGGTGGAGGGCAGGGTGGTGGTGGAGGGCAGGGTGGTGGTGGAGGGCAGGGTGGTGGTGGAGGGCAGGGTGGTGGTGGAGGGCAGGGTGGTGGTGGAGGGCAGGGTGGTGGTGGAGGAGGGCAGGATGATGGTGGAGGGCAGGGTGGTGGTGGAGGGCAGGGTGGTGGTGGAGGAGGGCAGGATGGTGGTGGAGGGCAGGGTGGTGGTGTAGGCGGACATGTTGGAGGTGGAGAGCAGGGTGGTGGTGGAGGAGGGCAGGGTGGTGGAGGAGGGCAGGGTGGTGGTGGAGGAGGGCAGGGTGGTGGTGGAGGAGGGCAGGGTGGTGGAGGAGGGCAGGGTGGTGGTGGAGGGCAGGGTGGTGGTGGAAAGCAGGGTGGGGGTGGAGGGCAGGTTGGTGGAGGAGGGCAGGGTGATGGTGGAGGGCAGGGTGGTGGTGGAGGGCAGGGTGGTGGTGGTGGGGCAGGGTGGTGGTGGAGGGTAGGGTGGTGGTGGAGGGCAGGGTGGTGGTGGAGGGCAGTGTGGTGGTGGAGGGCAGGGTGGTGGTGGAGGGCTGGGTGGTGGTGGAGGAGGGCAGGGTGGTGGTGGAGGGCAGGGTGGTGGTGGAGGGCAGGGTGGTGGTGGAGGGCAGGGTGGTGGTGGAGGAGGGCAGGGTGATGGTGGAGGGCAGGGTGGTGGTGGAGGGCAGGGTGGTGGTGGAGGAGGGCAGGGTGGTGGAGGAGGGCAGGGTGGTGGTGTAGGCGGACATGGTGGGGGTGGAGAGCAGGGTGGTGGTGGAGGAGGGCAGGGTGGTGGTGGAGGAGGGCAGGGTGGTGGAGGAGGGCAGGGTGGTGGTGGAGGAGGGCAGGGTGGTGGTGGTGGAGGGCAGGGTTGTGGTGGAGGAGGGCAGGGTGGTGGTGGAGGAGGGTAGGGTGGTGGTGGTGGAGAGCAGGGTGGTGGTGGAGGAGGGCAGGGGGGTGGTGGAGGAGGGCAGGGTGGTGTTGGAGGAGGACAGGGTGGTAGAGGAGGAGGGCAGGGTGGTGGAGGAGGGCAGGGTGGTGGTGGAGGAGGGCAGGGCAGGGTGGTGGAGGAAGGCAGTGTGGTGGAGGAGGGCAGGGTGGTGGAGGAGGGCAGGGTGGTGGTGGAGGAGGGCAGGGTGGTGGAGGAAGGCAGTGTGGAGGAGGAGGGCAGGGTGGTGGAGGAGGGCAGGGTGGTGGAGGATGGCAGGGTGGTGGAGTAGGGCAGGGTGGTGGAGGATGGAAGGGTGGTGGTGGAGGGCAGGGTGGTGGTGGAGGAAGGCAGGGTGGTGGTGGAGGAGGGCAGGGTGGTGGTGGAGGAGGGCAGGGTGGTGGAGGAAGGCAGAGTGGTGGAGGAGGGTAGGGTGGTGGAGGAGGGCAGGGTGGTGGAGGATGGCAGGGTGGTGGTGGAGGGCAGGGTGGTGGTGGAGGAGGGCAGGGTGGTGGTGGAGGAGGGCAGGGTGGTGGAGGAAGGCAGGGTGGTGGAGGAGGGCAGGGTGGTGGAGGAGGGCAGGGTGGTGGAGGAGGGCAGGGGGGTGGTGGAGGAAGGCAGGGTGGTGGTGGAGGGCAGGGTGGTGGTGGAGGAGGGCCGGGTGGTGGAGGAAGGCAGTGTGGTGGAGGAGGGCAGGGTGGTGGAGGAGGGCAGGGTGGTGGAGGATGGCAGGGTAGTGGTGGAGGAGGGCAGGGTGGTGGTGGAGGGCAGGGTGGTGGTGGAGGGCAGGGTGGTGGTGGAGGAGGGCTGGGTTGTGGTGGAGGAGGGCAGGGTGGTGGAGGGCAGGGTGGTGGGTGGTGGGCAGGGGGGTGGTGGTGGAGGGCTGGGTGGTGGTGGAGGGCAGGGTGGTGGTGGAGGAGGGCAGGGTGGTGGTGGAGGAGGGCAGGGTGGTGGAGGAGGGCAGGGTGGTGGAGGAGGGCAGGGTGGTGGAGGAGGGCAGGGTGGTGGAGGAGGGCAGGGGGGGTGGAGGAGGAGGGCAGGGTGGAGGAAGGCAGGGTGGTGGTGGAGGGGGCAGGGTGGTGGTGGAGGAGGGCCGGGTGGTGGAGGAAGGCAGTGTGGTGGAGGAGGGCAGGGTGGTGGAGGAGGGCAGGGTGGTGGAGGATGGCAGGGTAGTGGTGGAGGAGGGCAGGGTGGTGGTGGAGGGCAGGGTGGTGGTGGAGGGCAGGGTGGTGGTGGAGGAGGGCTGGGTTGTGGTGGAGGAGGGCAGGGTGGTGGAGGGCAGGGTGGTGGTGGGTGGTGGTGGAGGGCAGGGTGGTGGTGGTGGAGGAGGGCAGGGTGGTGGTGGTGGTGGTGGAGGAGGGGGTGGTGGGTGGAGGGTAGTGGTGGAGGAGGGCAGGGTGGTGGTGGAGGGCAGGGTGGTGGTGGAGGAGGGCAGGGTGGTGGTGGAGGGCAGGGTGGTGGTGGAGGAAGGCAGGGTGGGGTGGAGGAAGGCAGGTGGGAGGGCAGGGTGGTGGTGGAGGGCAGGGTGGTGGTGGAGGGCAGGGGGGTGGTGGTGGAGGAGGGCAGGGTGGTGGTGGTGGAGGAGGCAGGGTGGTGGTGGAGGGCAGGGTGGTGGTGGAGGAGGGCAGGGTGGTGGTGGTGGTGGTGGAGGAGGGCAGGGTGGTGGTGGAGGGGCAGGGTGGTGGAGGAGGGCAGGGTGGTGGAGGAGGGCAGGGTGGTGGTGGAGGGCAGGGTGGTGGTGGAGGAGGGCAGGGTGGTGGTGGAGGGCAGGGTGGTGGTGGAGGGCAGGGTGGTGGTGGAGGAGGCAGGGTGGTGGAGGAAGGCAGGGTGGTGGTGGAGGGGGTGGTGGTGGAGGGCAGGGGTGGTGGAGGGCAGGAGGGCAGGGTGGGTGGAGGAGGGCAGGGTGGTGGGGCAGGTGGTGGTGGTGGAGGGTGGTGGAGGAGGGCAGGGTGGTGGAGGAGGGCAGGGTGGTGGTGGAGGGCAGGGTGGTGGAGGAGGGCAGGGTGGTGGTGGTGGGGTGGAGGGCAGGGTGGTGGTGGAGGAGGGCAGGGTGGTGGAGGAGGGCAGGGTGGTGGTGGAGGGCAGGGTGGTGGTGGAGGAGGGCAGGGTGGTGGAGGAAGGCAGGGTGGGTGGAGGGCAGGGTGGTGGTGGAGGAGGGCAGGGTGGTGGAGGAGGCAGGGTGGTGGTGGAGGAGGGCAGGGTGGTGGAGGAGGGCAGGGTGGTGGTGGAGGGCAGGGTGGTGGTGGAGGAGGCAGGGTGGTGGAGGAGGGCAGGGTGGTGGTGGAGGAGGGCAGGGTGGTGGTGGAGGGCAGGGTGGTGGTGGAGGGCAGGGGTGGAGGAAGGCAGTGTGGTGGAGGAGGGCAGGGTGGTGGTGGAGGGCAGGGTGGTGGTGGAGGATGGCAGGGTGGTGGTGGAGGAGGGCAGGGTGGTGGTGGAGGGCAGGGTGGTGGTGGAGGGCAGGGTGGAGGGCAGGGTGGTGGTGGAGCAGGGTGGGGGTGGAGGGCAGGGTGGTGGTGGAGGGCAGGGTGGTGGTGGAGGAGGGCAGGGTGGTGGTGGAGGAGGGCAGGGTGGTGGTGGAGGGCAGGGTGGTGGAGGAAGGCAGGGTGGTGGTGGAGGGCAGGGTGGTGGTGGAGGAGGGCAGGGTGGTGGTGGAGGGCAGGGTGGTGGTGGAGGGCAGGGTGGTGGTGGAGGGCAGGGTGGTGGTGGAGGGCAGGGTGGTGGTGGAGGAGGGCAGGGTGGTGGTGGAGGGCAGGGTGGTGGTGGAGGGCAGGGTGGTGGTGGAGGGCAGGGTGGTGGTGGAGGGCAGGGTGGTGGTGGAGGAAGGGTGGTGGTGGAGGAGCAGGGTGGTGGAGGAGGGCAGGGTGGTGGAGGAGGGTGGTGGTGGAGGGCAGGGTGGTGGAGGGCAGGGTGGTGGTGGAGGAGGGCAGGGTGGTGGTGGAGGAGGGCAGGGTGGTGGTGGAGGGCAGGGTGGTGGTGGAGGGCAGGGTGGTGGTGGAGGAGGGCAGGGTGGTGGAGGAGGGCAGGGTGGTGGAGGGCAGGGTGGTGGTGGAGGGCAGGGTGGTGGTGGAGGAGGGCAGGGTGGTGGTGGAGGGCAGGGTGGTGGTGGAGGAGGGCAGGGTGGTGGTGGAGGGCAGGGTGGTGGTGGTGGTGGAGGAGGGCAGGGTGGTGGTGGAGGGCAGGGTGGAGGGCAGGGTGGTGGTGGAGGGGAGGGCAGGGTGGTGGTGGAGGAGGGCAGGGTGGTGGTGGAGGAGGGCAGGGTGGTGGTGGAGGGCAGGGTGGTGGTGGGTGGTGGAGGGCAGGGTGGTGGTGGGTGGTGGAGGAGGGCAGGGTGGGGGTGGTGGAGGGCAGGGGAGGGCAGGGTGGTGGTGGAGGGGGCAGGGTGGTGGTGGAGGGGGCAGGGTGGTGGTGGAGGAGGGCAGGGTGGTGGTGGAGGGCAGGGTGGTGGTGGTGGAGGAGGGCAGGGTGGTGGTGGAGGAGGGTGGTGGTGGAGGAGGGCAGGGTGGTGGTGGAGGAGGGCAGGGTGGTGGTGGAGGAGGGCAGGGTGGTGGTGGAGGGCAGGGTGGTGGTGGAGGAGGGTGGTGGTGGAGGGCAGGGTGGTGGTGGAGGGCAGGGTGGTGGTGGAGGGCAGGGTGGTGGTGGAGGGCAGGGTGGTGGTGGAGGAGGGCAGGGTGGTGGTGGAGGGCAGGGTGGTGGTGGAGGGCAGGGTGGTGGAGGAGGGCAGGGTGGTGGTGGAGGGCAGGGTGGTGGTGGAGGGCAGGGTGGTGGGGATGGCAGGGTGGTGGTGGAGGAGCAGGGTGGTGGTGGAGGAGGGCAGGGTGGTGGAGGAGGAGGAGGGCAGGGTGGTGGTGGAGGTGGGCAGGGTGGTGGAGGAGGAGGGCAGGGTGGTGGTGGAGGAGGGTGGGGAGGAGGTGGTGGAGGAGGAGGGCAGGGTGGTGGTGTGGAGGAGGGCAGGGTGGTGGTGGAGGAGGGTAGGGGTGGGTGGAGGAGGGTGCAGGAGGGCAGGAGGGTGGTGGAGGAGGGCAGGGTGGTGTTGGAGGAGGACAGGGTGGTAGAGGAGGAGGGCAGGGTGTTGGACGAGGGCAGGGTGGTGGTAGAGGAGGGCAGGGTTGTGGAGGAAGGCAGTGTGGTGGAGGAGGGCAGGGTGGTGGAGGAGGGCAGGGTGGTGGTGGAGGAGGGCAGGGTGGTGGAGGAAGGCAGTGTGGTGGAGGAGGGCAGGGTGGTGGAGGAGGGCAGGGTGGTGGAGGATGGCAGGGTGGTGGTGGAGGGCAGGGTGGTGGTGGAGGAAGGCAGGGTGGTGGTGGAGGAAGGCAGGGTGGTGGTGGAGGAGGGCAGGGTGGTGGAGGAAGGCAGTGTGGTGTAGGAGGGCAGGGTGGTGGAGGAGGGCAGGGTGGTGGAGGATGGCAGGGTGGTGGTGGAGGGCAGGGTGGTGGTGGAGGAGGGCAGGGTGGTGGTGGAGGAGGGCAGGGTGGTGGAGGAAGGCAGGGTGGTGGAGGAGGGTAGGGTGGTGGAGGAGGGCAGGGTGGTGGAGGAGGGCAGGGGGGTGGTGGAGGATGGCAGGGTGGTGGTGGAGGGCAGGGTGGTGGTGGAGGAGGGCCGGGTGGTCGAGGAAGGCAGTGTGGTGGAGGAGGGCAGGGTGGTGGAGGAGGGCAGGGTGGTGGAGTATTGCAGGGTAGTGGTGGAGGAGGGCAGGGTGGTGGTGGAGGGCAGGGTGGTGGTGGAGGGCAGGGTGGTGGTGGAGGAGGGCTGGGTTGTGGTGGAGGAGGGCAGGGTGGTGGAGGGCAGGGTGGTGGTGGTGGTGGTGGAGGGCAGGGTGGTGGTGGAGGGCAGGGTGGTGGTGGAGGAGGGCAGGGTGGTGGTGGAGGAGGGCAGGGTGGTGGAGGAAGGCAGGGTGGTGGAGGAGGGCAGGGTGGTGGAGGAGGGCAGGGTGGTGGAGGAGGGCAGGGGGGTGGTGGAGGAAGGCAGGGTGGTGGTGGAGGGCAGGGTGGTGGTGGAGGAGGGCCGGGTGGTGGAGGAAGGCAGTGTGCTGGAGGAGGGCAGGGTGGTGGAGGAGGGCAGGGTGGTGGAGGATGGCAGGGTAGAGGTGGAGGAGGGCAGGGTGGTGGTGGAGGGCAGGGTGGTGGTGGAGGGCAGGGTGGTGGTGGAGGAGGGCTGGGTTGTGGTGGAGGAGGGCAGGGTGGTGGAGGGCAGGGTGGTGGTGGTGGAGGGCAGGGTGGTGGTGGAGGGCAGGGTGGTGGTGGAGGAGGGCTGGGTTGTGGTGGAGGAGGGCAGGGTGGTGGTGGAGGGCAGGGTGGTGGTGGAGGAAGGCAGGGTGGTGGTGGAGGGCAGGGTGGTGGTGAAGGGCAGGGTGGTGGTGGAGGGCAGGGTGGTGGTGGAGGCCAGGGTGGTGGTGGAGGAAGGCAGGGTGGTGGTGGAGGGCAGGGTGGTGGTGGAGGAGGGCAGGGTGGTGGAGGAAGGCAGTGTGGTAGAGGAGGGCAGGGTGGTGGAGGAGGGCAGGGTGGTGGAGGAGGGCAGGGTGGTGGAGGAGGTGGGCAGGGTGGTGGTGGAGGGCAGGGTGGTGGTGGAGGAGGGCTGGGTGGTGGTGGAGGAGGGAAGGGAAATATATATATATATATATATATATATATATATATATATATATATATATATATATATATATATATATATATATATATATATATATATATATGACAATGTCAGACCACGAAGGAAAAATGAAACAGGAAATTTCCTTAAGTACTTTCGTATATTAAATACATCTTCAGAAGGTAAATACACCTTCTGAAGATGTATTTAATATACGAAAGTACTTAAGGAAATTTCCTGTTTAATTTTTCCTTCGTGGTCTGACATTGTCACATTCTTAATCACGTGTTTATTTTCGTGATATACACATATATATATATATATATATATATATATATATATATATATATATATATATATATATATATATATATATATATATATATATATATATATATATATATATATTGGTGTATACTGGCAGCAGGTTTTCTTTCAAACATATTTCATTGAATATGACCGCATATTCTGTATTTATTATTTTCTGGTTTAGGGCTTCTATCCCTCTAACTATTTTCTTAGCATCAGGGCTTAGTTGAAATAGGAGTTCTCCAAAACTCATTTTCGTACTTTTAAGGTGAAGAAATGAAGTGATTTACTATAGAGTGTATTACACTTATTTATACAATTTGCACAACGTTTCGAACCTCCATGGTTCATTCTCAAGTGAACAGATCTTACAATGCTGGTTGATTTTATACCCTACTGGGTCAGGTGATAATACAATAAATGTGAAAACATGGGGGGGGGATACATAAGGGATAAATGTGAGGTGAAACGTAGAGGTAACTGCAGAAGGCTTATTGGCCCATACGATTCCTAGGGGCAATCCGGTGCCCCTAGGAATCACATGAGACAAGCCCATGACATCACTCTAACTAGAGAAATGTTGAACAAGAATATTTGCATAATAGACAAAACCCAAGATGCAAGAAAATTACAAATTCTTGAGGCAATTCACATAAGAATAGAACAACCTACCATGAACACCCAAATCACGGAACTATTTACTCTACCCACCATGAGAGTAAGGACAAGACAAGAACATAACGATGCCAACACAGAAGACAATGTCCAACATAACAGGCCAGTTACACTGGATTAATCTTTGTGTTTAGATAGGAGATGCCTCGTATGGGCCAATAAGCCTTCTGCAGTTACCTCTATGTTTCACCTCACATTTATCCCTTATGTATCCCCCCCCCATGTTTTCACATTCATTGTATTATCACCTGACCCAGTGCGGGTATAAAATCAACCAGCATTGTAAGATCTGTTCACTTGAGAATGAACCATGGAGGTTCGAAACGTTGTGCAAATTGTATAAATAAGTGTAATACACTCTATAGTAAATCACTTCTTTACTTCACCTTAAAAGTACAAAAATGAGTTTTGGAGAACTCCTATTTCAACTAAGCCCTGATGCTAAGAAAATAGTTAGAGGGATAGAAGCCCTAAACCAGAAAATAATAAATACAGAATATGCGGTCATATTCATTGAATATGAAGAAGCCTCGGAGAAGAAAATAAAGAGTACTCAGAGAAGACCTTGTGGATCCTCACTGAACACTTTGATATTTTCTTCTCCTACCACCCCCTATTCTTTTGGTATGTGTGTATATTTATCTAACTTTATTTGAAAATGTTATTACACAAAAAAGTTACAATATTCATTACATACAGGGTACAAGGCTTCTTGTCACAAGTTGAACAGCTCCTCATATGGCGGGCAGGAACCATGGATGCAGTGAGCATTTCCTCTCTGGATTGCCACACTAAGGCGCTGAAAAAGAAAACTGGGAGCTCAAGGGTCTCTAGTTGTTTCGATTAGCTTAGACCCCAACTCCTTCAAAAAGCTAGCAGCACTTTTACCCCAGGCACCAAGTGTCTCTGAGGCAATGGGGACAAAATTGTAGTGGTGCTCAAGGTCTCTGTATGTATGTGACTTGGCCGCTTCCCGGTGATTGGCAGCTCCTCCTGCTTGTGTAGCACTGAAGTCAACATAGGTATTGGCTAAAGTTGAAACGCAAGTGTAGTCCCTCACCAACTGTCTACCATTCTTCCAGGGGTTCACCGTAATTCCGTCTGGGCGACCGACAGGCTCATCAGAGTTGTGGGACATTAGGTAACGGGGCTCTCTCTCTGCTGGACAACCGGCTGTGGTAAGGCTTCTCTTAATAATGTCATTAACCTCGCCGTGTCTTGCATGTCATCCTCCTGTCCTTTGGCAGAGAAGGCCATGCCGTCCGTATCTGTCGGCCTCTGCCTCGCCGCAAATACACCTGTATTCAGTGTGGATTGGGGCAGCGAGGCGGAGAGCCACGGCAATTCGGAGGGCCTGCGGTGAGAGACGGGTGCCGGTTGCTGACATTGGGGTTGCTAATAGGAAATCACCTGCATGGGGAGCTGCTACAGCTCTAAGTCGGGCAGTGTCATGTGGCATTGTCGCAGCTTCTTGGTCGGCAATGGGGCGATCCCAGCTGGATTGCTCATGGGCTTCAGAAGGCGGTGGTTGGGGTGCTGGTCCTGCGAGAGAGACCCATTTGGTTGTGCAGTCTGTAAAGCTGGGATCATGTACCCCTGCCTGTTGAACTAGGTGCTCAGGTAGGATTTCCTTCACCAAGTTGTCAGACCCCACTGAAAAGGACAGGAACGCTGGTACAGCAATTTGTGTTGCTGTGCGCACGCCAAGGCCCCCGAGTCTGACAGGAAGGGAGGCCTGTTTCCACTGTGAGTCGCTGAGGGAAAGATTGAGGGCTTTTTCTAGTGTTGATTTGAGCAAGCTGTCTTACTCTTCTAATTTAATATTGTTGAAAGATGGCGAACATCTTAGAAAGTAGGTCAGCCTGGGGAGGGACAAGCCTCTACTCACCTAGTTGTGTTTGCGGGGTTTGAGCTCTGGCTCTTTGGTCCCGCCTCTCAACCGTCAATCAACAGGTGTACAGATTCCTGAGCCTATCGGGCTCTATCATATCTACACTTGAAACTGTGTATGGAGTCAGCCTCCACCACATCACTTCCTAATGCATTCCATTTGTCAACCACTCTGACACTAAAAAAGTTCTTTCTAATATCTCTGTGGCTCATTTGGGCACTCAGTTTCCACCTGTGTCCCCTTGTGCGTGTTCCCCTTGTGTTAAATAGACTGTCTTTATCTACCCTATCAATTCCCTTCAGAATCTTGAATGTGGTGATCATGTCCCCCCTAACTCTTCTGTCTTCCAGCGAAGTGAGGTTTAATTCCCGTAGTCTCTCTTCGTAGCTCATACCTCTCAGCTCGGGTACTAGTCTGGTGGCAAGCCTTTGAACCTTTTCCAGTTTAGTCTTATCCTTGACTACATATGGACTCCATGCTGGGGCTGCATACTCCAGGATTGGCCTGACATATGTGGTATACAAAGTTCTGAATGATTCTTTACACAAGTTTCTGAATGCCGTTCGTATGTTGGCCAGCCTGGCCTATGCCGCTGAAGTTATCCGCTTGATATGTGCTGCAGGAGAAAGGTCTGGCATGATATCAACCCCCAAGTCTTTTTCCTTCTCTGACTCCTGAAGAATTTCCTCTCCCAGATGATACCTTGTATCTGGCCTGCTGCTCCCTACACCTTTCTTCATTACATTACATTTGGTTGGGTTAAACTCTAACAACCATTTGTTCGACCATTCCTTCAGCGTGTCTAGGTCTTCTTGAAGCCTCAAACAGTCCTCTTCTGTTTTAATCCTTCTCATAATTTTAGCATCGTCCGCAAACATTGAGAGAAATGAATCGATACCCTCTGGGAGATCATTTACATATATCAGAAAGAAGATAGGACTGAGTACAGAGCCCTGTGGGACTCCACTGGTGACTTCACGCCAATCGGAGGTCTCACCCCTCAAAGTAACTCTCTGCTTCCTATTGCTTAGATACTCCCTTATCCACTGGAGCACCTTACCAGCTACACCTGCCTGTCTCTCGAGCTTATGTACCAGCCTCTTATGCGGTACTGTGTCAAAGGCTTTCCGACAATCCAAGAAAATGCAGTCCGTCCAGCCCTCTCTTTCTTGCTTAATCTTTGTCACCTGATCGTAGAATTCTATCAAGCCTGTAAGGCAAGATTTACCCTCCCTGAACCCATGTTGGCGATTTGTCACGAAGTCCCTACTCTCCAGATATGTTACCAGGTTTTTTCTCACGATCTTCTCCATCACCTTGCATGGTATACAAGTCAAGGACACTGGCCTGTAGTTCAGTGCTTCTTGCCTGTCGCCCTTTTTGTATATTGGGACC